CCCCCTCCCCCCCCCAAAAAAAAAGCTTTCCTGAAAATCTACTTCAAAGGTATCTTTGTTTGTTTTTCCCAAGGATATACAAGAGACGCATCATTTCTTGCAATGGTGGTGGATATCGTCCAAGAGTTGAAGCAACAGAATTCTAACCTAGTATATGGTAAGGATGTGAATTATAATTCTTTCTGCTTCTTTGTTGTATGTGCCCATCATTTTCATATTTTAGGATGAAAATGTCATTCTGTTGTAACCCAGTATTTTGGCTATCTTGTGCTCTGATCTGGTTGGGACCACCTCAGAAGTTTCATTTCAGCATTGCTGAAAATTGATTTAATTTTTGTGATGTTATGCCTTTCAGTGTGTTTCATATGTTATGTAACATCCAAAGAAAAGCATGTATTAAGGAGTAATTGTATGAAAGGAAGTTTTGTGAAATCCCAGCTGGCTGTTGCTGTTTGTATTCATAAGCATAGGCTGGGAGCATGAATGGCTGAAGCCTCTTTTTGATTTCCAGGTCACACAAAAGTAGGATAGATTGTCCCACACTGCACTGATGTGGTTTCTTGCTACATCCCACAGGTATATTAATGTGCCTTATAAGCTTAATAATTTAGCTTAAGCTGTGAGGCATGTTTTACTCTCATCCCCTGTTACAATTACCTGGGAATGCTTGAAGAGCAACAGACCTGTGAGAAAAGATGGCCTGAGTGTTTCAGGATGAAAGTCAACCAGCACGGGCTTGAATTGAGCAAAGAATTTACAATAACAAAGCAAAGTCAGTGGGGATTTACTGGGATAAAGAACTGAGAATGATGGCTGAACCACCTTCAGGTTCAACAGACTGTGTCGTCAGGAATCTACGATGGTTAACAGGGTTTGCAGGGCACCATACTGCATAGTCTGATGGCAGATTTAGAATTAACAAAGTGCAGTTCTTGTTCTGAAGGTGTAGTGAAGAGATCTCCATGAACTTGATTTTCAGTTTTTTAGCTTGCAATACAACTTGGTATTGTGAAAGCTAAAAGCTGTATTGAGGTATGAACAGAAAGAAGCACAGAATGGTGAGGAAGTGGTCAGGTAGAGAGAACACAACAAGACTTCTAAGACCCTTTATTTAATAGTGAGATCATGTTGTAAGGAAAATCCTTTCAAACTGTAAATAAATGACACTTGTTATTTGTAGAAACTTCCTTAAGTACTAATTAGACATTGATTTGATACTTTGCAATTTGGTTTTTTTATCTTGCTGAAAGCTCTCTTTTAATACAATTATACTTTTTTTCAAATACACCGCTTGGCTGTTTCCATTCTTTCTTGGAACTGAGGGCACTTAAAATACATTGTTAACATTGCTGAAGATTCAGGACACATGCCAAATGTGTGCTATTGTTATTACACTAAATTTGAGTTTATGTTCTTTGGCCTGGGTTTTCTTTTTTGTTTCTTTTTAAAACACATTATTTTAATGTGTACAGTACAACATTTTGTGTGTGTGTTGGGCAAGTATAATTTTGCACTTCAGTAAAAATAGGGCCCCGTTTCTAAAACTAGACTTATTCTCTGTTACAGTGTGCGATCCAGTGATGGGAGACAAATGGAATGGAGAAGGCTCCATGGTTAGTACTTATCTGTTTGCTTGGTATATTGAGTATTTGTTGTATAAATATGTATGCATAGGAGTTTATTGGTTTTTGAACCAAAGACTAAGCCATTTTCCTCAAGTGTGGCTTTGAATCCCAGCATCAACTACATTTGTACTACAGTTACTGTATATGCTTGAGTTTAGTATTAAGGAAGATAATGACTGCATAGCCCTGGGACTTCTTAATTCCGTATTGAGAACAGATAGTCTATATACCCTATCCAGAGGAAAATATCCCCCTGCTTCCCCTCCACTTCTCTCTGGAATTCTCTCATCTTCTGTCAAGATAGCGGTTCCAGCTGTTAGGCTTGCTCATGTTCTGTGATTATATGAATTGGCATGCCACCTGAACCTAAATGAAGATGACTTATTTCATGTGAGTTGCAACGCCTGTTAGGCACTGGGCTGTTGCAGTGACAGAGACAGAAAGGTTTGGTGTGCCAGTGCATTGCAAACAAGGAAACGTTTCATTCTTAACATTAGCAGATAGTTTCTGTAACTGTGGAATGTGGAAAAAGATCAGCAGTGATAATATTTTCTATTTTCTTCTGCCTTAGCTGGTCATACACTATGATTTTCTCTTTGTCCTTGTACTTTCTTACAGTTTACCTGCTCCTGAAAAATCACATGAAGTTGCACTTAGTAATAAATTTGCCATTGATTTTGTGGTCTCATTCTTTCATTTCATGTCTATTGCAATATTTAATGTCCTTGGCTTTTCTAACAAGGCAGAAATATAGTAGCTGTAGAGCTGCATTAGCTGTAGAGTGACTTTGAAAAGCTCTTGGGAGAAGTCATAACCATGGACTTACCCATATCTTTTGGGTAAAAGACAAGGTAGATGGAATAAGATGAGAAAGTTTACTACACAACCCACCAACTCACTCCTGCTGTAAAAAGTAATAAAACAATTAAGAGGTCTTGATTTAGATGTGACCTAGTCTTGCATTCCTATCTAAAAGCAGAGTCCTGTGACATCATTACTTTATCAAGACAACATGAGTGAGCTCAGTGCCAAGATGATGGGTGTTCTGATATCACCTAATGGTCAATAACATAATGAGGCTTTATCTGTCACTAATACAGCTGAAATAGGAGGTGAGCACATGGATACATCTGTATGTACACCCTGTCCTACGTAGCTGATGTGCCTAATAGAGAAAATAAAATGTAGACAAAAGGAAAGATTAATCCTGATTTAGAAAATGGGGTGCTAAAGAAGAATAGCTACTAGTAAACAAAGAACTTTAATATAGACTTTGTTAAGTAGAGCTACAACAGGATGCAGGAAGGTGAGCTGAGGCCTGCAATTTAGCTCCTAGCTGAACTCCATTGCGTGCCAAAAGAGCTGATGCTTTTGAACTTTCTTCCAAGTTTGAAGGGCTTACAGTCTTCTAGACTCCTGCTGCATCTTGGTGTATGTCACCTGATAGAGAACCAGTTTGCCTTTGCTAATGGGCTGTATATAGCTAAAGAAGATGGGATAGAGGTGGAACAGGAATGCAGAAGAGAGAGCATTGGGCCTCATTACTTAAAGTCACCAAAATATGTGAGTGGTTTCCCATTCATGTGTATGAATGTATAGCACATCCTAGAAATACTGCACTGAAAAGAGGGGACAAAATAACACATAATATGAATGTTGCTTGTTCCTCAACCCCTACAGTACAATACAACCAATGTACTGCAGTGATGCAACAGAGAACTTCCATTCCATTGGTACAACAGCAAAGTAGTTTATTTTAGAGATATGGACAGAAAAAGGGTTTCCCATTTTTGTTCCTTTTACTAAGATGACAAAGCAGTATGAGGGAACCCCAAAACTCTTAATCTAGACATCACTTCCTTTTAATGCAGTTTAGGTGTACTTAGTGATGGTTTCAATCACCTCCCACTGTCACCAGCTGCAGGATGCACAGCCACTTTAATTCCTGCTACCTAACAGTACACTGTGAACTTTAAGATTATGAAGTGTCAGCATGAATGGTAGTTCAGGGAAGGAGCATGTCACTCCCATGTCTGAAATAGCTGATGACATTTCATACTATTTTTTTCTCCCTCAGTATGTGCCTAAAGATCTCCTCCCAGTCTATAGGGACAAAGTTGTACCTGTTGCTGATATAATTACTCCTAACCAGTTTGAGGCTGAGTAAGTATCCATTTCTTTTATACTCAAGTAAACCCAGAGATAAAAACGGGAGGCTGATATTCATTCTTTCATTTGTCTCAGTATAGTACTGTATGTATGCATATGTTGGGTTTTGTTTTTTAGCTGTTGCTTTAAAGTAGTGCTCTTCTTCAAACCTACTGTTCTATATTGACACCAGGAAAAAAAAAAAAAAAGGATTTATTTGAGGAACACCATTATTTTCTCCAGTCTCTCATTTTACATGACTGCTTCCAGAGACTATATATCTAGGACAGGTTGAAAAAATACCTCTCTCCCCTCTCTTGTTCTACCCATTCCTGTGAAAATTTGTACTATATATCATAATATAAAAACTGAAATTTGTTTGAAGTTTGACAAAAAAACTCCCTAATTTTGATTTAGAAATACCACCATGGCAACATCTGATGTGGAATAAGAATTTGCCTCATGCCCACCCTGTCTCCATAGCCATGACTCTTTGGTCAGGAGATAATCTGTTATGATACATTACATGCTGTCCCCGTAAAGGGAGGGAGCAGCTGTGTAGGAGATTGAGAGAAAATGCTTATGAAGTAATGCTAGGGTACAGAATTTGGGTTAGAATTGATACAGTCATGCTGCTGAAGCACTGTGTATCTTGTGCGTGTAACTTCTGATGACTGCAGTCTGGTACAGCAGACTGCGTAGTGAACAAATTGTTTAAGCCTGTATTGTGTAGTCCAAGCTTTCATCCTTTCAAAGAATAAACAAAGCTGTTATTGCCTGGGAGATGTGTGCTCCTTCAAGATGTCTGTTTTGTGTGCTCTTTCAAGAAATCTGTTTCATTCTCAGGTTACTTACTGGGAGGAAGATTTACACAGAAAAAGATGCTTTAGAGGTAAGTAGATAAAGGATAGGATGTGCAAGATCTTATTCTTTAATTCTACCTGCAGTGTTTGCTATTTGTCGTTAACCTTGAAATCACTTTGACCCCTCTCTCTCCATCAGACATTAAAGCCTTGTACTGTCAGTGTGCAAAATACATTCTGTTCTCATGTCAGACTTCTGAAGAAACTTCCCGAAAGAACTACAAATAAAGACAATGCAGTGTTAGTGAGCAGGTCACTGAGTTTTTTGCAGTGTAGGAGGAAAGCAGCAGCATGCATGCATATCCATACTGCTGACAATGTGGCTCCTTGTCATTGGCTGAGGTGAAAACCCCGAGGGATTCTGATCATTAGAAACCTGCATAAATTGCTCCCTCTGCTGTCCACATGCTAGTTGTGCAGCAGCAATGCTGAATGATAGTACAGCTATTTCTCATTCTCCCGTTGATACAGTATGCTAGGAAGAGAGCTTGAAGAGGATTGAGCAAATACAGCGTTGGCTGTTTTCTTGTTTCTTTTTTTGGAAATTGACTTGCAGGCCATGAGACCTGCATTGCAAAAGCAGTGCATAGATGAGAAAATGGATTGGTAGTGATGACCCTCAGGTAACTCCTGGTAAAAGGTGGACAGATCTGGATTGCTGGCAGCTGCTCTCATCATCCTACATTGATGATAGGTAATCTGCAAATACACTGCATTGAGGTGTAAGGATTTACCCTTTTACACAAGTTGAATGACTTTTAAAAAGCTGTAGGGTATGGTGATGAAGGACAAAATAGGAACATAGTTTTATGTTTGTTTTTAAAAAAGATCTGAGCCTTTTGTTTTGTTGACAAGTCAAGTGCTTTCATAATGGACTGATGTTATTTATTTCAGTTTGATTTTGAACTTCAAAGGAACACAAAATCTTTAAACAAACAGCAGCTGCAGAGGAACCCTGGAGAGTAGCTGGGCTCTGCCAGCCCTAATGTTTGTTGTTTTTTTCCTCCAGTAACGTCATGCAGTGTCAGCTGACTACCATCTCTTCACAGCAAAAAGCAGCTCCAAAGATCTGAGTTCTTTTTCCTTTCCACACCAGTTTTATATTACTGCACTGCGATGGATAAGGGTGCTGAATGCTACTAGCTGCTGTCACTCATTCCTTCTATTCTCATCCTTCCAAGTAGAACCATAGTCTTCAGAACAACTCTATTGGCTGAGCACCTGTTGATTTTTGGTTTGCATGTTACAGCAGGAAATGTTAGTTTCATGTGCTAAACAATTAGAACTTTCCAACTCATGAATGCTAGTTCTTCTTTAAGATGGGTTTTAAAAATCTCCTGTGAAGATGGAATTAGACTTAAGAATGGAAACATTTTTAAAAAGTTGCTTGCAGGTTATTACATTTAAATATGTCTTTCTCATTGAGCTGCATATTATATACACATCTCTCCTCCGAAGTAATAATTCATGCTGGAATTTGTTCCCTTTGGAGATGGTAGGAATTCTGCCATCTATTCTCAAGGTGACATGCTTTCATTGATTTCTTCAGCAAGACTAGTGGTGACAGTGGAGTTTTTTTCTAACACAAAATTAAGTGTAGCCTAAGTTTAATGTAGAGGAGGCTGAGTCCCACAACCAGAAATAGATTAGATCCTTGTTAAGTCGTGGATGAGAAGAGAAATCAAGTTTAATGTTATTCGCAGGCTGATCATGTCAGCATATGCTGGTGAGCTCACTGCTTCTTTAAAACCCAACTGATGTCTGTGCAGGGAGTTGTGACAGCTGAAGAAACTTGGAGGCTTATGAGACAAAAGACAGAATTTTTAAAAAATACAAGTTAATCCTTATCATTCAACTGTTTATGCGTCATAGCCAGCCTGAGAGAATTTTTAGTTAAACACTTCTGGGAGAACTAATATTTTATGTATTTTATGCTAAACTTATTACTTAAAGTCTTTCTTCTGTGAAATCAAAACCAGTCTTGTAACAACCATCTATGGTGTCAGAAGTAGAGCATTAATGATTTTAAGTGAGGAATACATTGAGAGATAATACATCTAGAAAGGTACATAATTTACTGGTGAATGTTTTGAATTTGTAACAGAATGGGAAAGGAAGATGGAGATAGGCACAGTTGTGCCTCCAACTCGGTTATTTAAGTTGTTGTTTTTGCTAACTCCTAAAGATGTAACTAAACAATACTTCCCGGCCTGAATTTCTTACCTTTGTAGTATGTGTTTAAAGATACCAGCTCAGATGCATGTCTCTCTGTACTTGTTCTTTTCTTCTTTTGATAGTATGTTTTGGAAACATGATGCAGAGAAAAGTTTTGATAAACAACATTCTGTTTCAGCTATTTCAGAGGAGTATCCAAAGATAACAGAGAGATACTTGGATATTTGAGCTAGTGTCTGCGTTAAATGTGAATGATTCCCCTATTTCAAATTAATACCACTAATTCAAGTGAATTATTTGGGTGAAAATCATTTATTCTCTACAAAAGATGGCAAATCAATGTGCTTGTGAAATATTGCTCTGGATGATGCAAGGTTTAATCAACACACATTGCAGTCACTGATTCCTGCCTTTTTGCACATGGGAAGGTAATGGATATGCTCCATGCCATGGGACCAGAGACTGTGGTGATAACCAGCTCAGATCTACAGGCACCGCTAGGAAACGACTACCTGATTGCTTTGGGAAGCTACAGGAAAAGTAAGTTACAAAGTGCTTCATTAGTAGGTTTGGTCTCTCTATATATAGTTATATAATTCCAGAGGCAATAACAATATGGCACACGGATCAAATATTCTCTGCTGATGTCTATAGCTGTTCCTACTCTCGAGGTTCTCTAGATTCTGGTTGGGTATGGTCCACCAAGGATTCAGCAGATTCCCTTGCTCAGCATCTGAGCAAACTGCTGCTGCAGTCTAAATGAAACATTTTAGGCTCCCATTTCTTTATAAAAGTAATTGTGCTAGCTCCCTTTTCTACTTAAGTGAAGTACGTAAGTTGTAAAGACTATCCTACTCAGCAGAGTTTTGGGACGGAACTGAAAAAGAACTGGTACAAAGTTTACAGTACTCCTTGGCATCTTTACATTCTTAACAGTAGAGGAATTCAAATCTGATTATCACTTTTAAATTATAGTAAGTGCTGTTATATTGATTGCTGAGTCTGTTACTGAACTGTGTCTCTGTGTTGCAGCTAATGCAGATGGCACCAAGATAACACAGAGAATTCGAGTGGAATCTCCTAAAGTGGATGCTGTCTTTGTTGGAACAGGAGACTTGTTTGCTGCTATGCTTTTGGCATGGACACATAAGCATCCAAACAACTTGAAGGTATGGGAGAGGTTTTTCATCTATCTGCAAGTTCAGACTTTGTTTCTTTTTTAATTAGTTTTAATCTACTATATTATTTATGGACTCTCATCTGATTAGAAATTTTTCTTGCTTCAGAGCAAAGAAAGCAGAATGTCCCTTTTGCTACAAGATTTTAGCTTGTACAACTTCCCATGGTCAATTTCAGTATTTTGTAGTTTTGTCAAATAAGGTGCTCTGTCTCTGGAGATTTCATGTACATTTATAAATACATTTCATTTTCACTTCATAGTAAGTGTTGAAAACCATTTACCTATTCTGTTTTTTCTCTTTTGTCTGTAAAGTCATTGATACAGGTGTATGGTTTCTAATACTTGTCTGGATAGAGCTAAGATAATCTAAAAAACTTCTTTTTCCAAACTACCTCATTGTCACCCTGTTTGTGTCTTGGTAGTTGTTTGCCTGAGTAGTAGTATTACTAATATTAAACTAAGCAGCTGCAGTTCTACTACAGCCTAAATATGTTACGGTAATGTGCAGGTGGCATGTGAAAAGACTGTGTCAGCCATGCAACATGTTCTGCAGAGGACCATTAAGAGTGCAAAAGGTAATTCATTCAAACCTTGTTCTTCCCTCTCTTTGTCTTTTTGCATTGGATTTTTGCATTGGAAGAAACATTTAGGGAGCTTTCTGGGTTTCCTGACACAGAAAAGTAGCTTTCAGTGCAGAAGCTCCCAGAGAATCTAGAGCATTTATAGAATGAGAGCTAGGTAGTCTTGTCAGTGTATGTTCTTCACTGTATCCTCCAGCCCTATTTTTGACAACACCAGACTGAAGGTGTCACTGTTCAGCTTATATTGGTACTACAGTATGCTGACAGTGCTCGACTGCCTTGCAAAGCAGTGGTGAAAGAACTTGAGGAAATACTGAGTTTGATGTGCAGAGGAGATTCTGCTTTAAATATAGCTCACTCACTTTACCTTTTAGTGATTGTGATTGGTATTGAGAAGGGCTTGTCAACAAGTAATAACCAGTTTGCCATATTGGCCATGTGAAAAATCATTTTTTCAGCTTCTTTTACCTTTGAGTTCCCATACCTATCAACTTTTAAGGAGATCCAGATGGGAATAGTGGGTTCCCAAAGCATGTCTTTGTGTCTTTCTAATTGACAGCAGAGCTGTGTTCTTTTCTGGAGAGAGGTGCTGCAGAGCTGAGGTGCTGAGAAAATACAGTGCTGATGTGCATCTTCAACTTCAGAAACCTTTAGCAAGGGTAGTAAGGGAAGTGGGAGGAGAGAGAAAAAATATAATGGGGTATCAGACATTGCAACTTGTTTACTGTTAAATTGCTGTTTTTATTGACCTTCTGATGTCATCTTTTTAGCACAAGCTGGAGAAGGAAACAAACCAAACTCAGCCAATCTGGAACTGAGAATGGTCCAAAGCAAAAAGGACATAGAGAACCCAGAAATCATAGTGAAAGCTACTGTGTTATAAAGGCTGTATGTCTCCAGCAACGCACAATGTATTGATGTCCTCATTTTTTTCCTGTAAATTGTAATATTTGCCTTAGATCTGTGACAGAAACCTGACTTTCATGAAATAGTGCCCAGCATAGGCAGATATCCACTCTCAAACATATGTGCTGGCCTTGCTCGATTTTAAAAACAAAACAGAGTCAGTATGCATTAAAGCATATTACCAGGTATCAAAATGGCTGTCAAATTCACTTTATTTGTGTAATTTCCCAGGGCAAGAGAGTACAATGTTCCTGCCTTGCCAAAGACTTCAGATGTGAATTTGCTAATGGAATGCTTGACTGACTGGAGAATATATTTCAAGACGGCATCTAGTGCCAACGGAGCTTGCTACAAGCTCCCTTTTCCTAGAGAGATATGGTTACCTACTCTGGTATTCAGTATCTCAGCTGCTACGAAACTAAGCAGGGTTAAAACTACACACAAAGCTCTGGATGTGTGTAGAGGTACTTTGAAGATGTTTGGCATTTAAGTACTCTGAAGTGACCTTGAGGTGTCTGTCATTAATGTTACTGATAACTGCTCCTGTTTCTTGTCTTATGAACAGCTGCACATTTTCAGTTTTCGCAGGTACTGGCTGCTAATTTCTGATGTCCACTGGTGCCCTCATGTTTTTCTTCCAAAACTCTGCTTCAGAAATACTTTCATTAATAAGAACATATTCATTCAGTAGCACTGACTACAAGTTTGTAGATTTACCTCTGAGGCCAGGCTTGATGCTTTGTTTTTTTTTTTAACTAAGGACAAATGTTATTTAAGGACAAAAGAGAAAGCAGCTCCTACTCTGAAGGCTGACAGCAATTATTTTTCTTCATGGATGTATTTACACTGTGTAGAGTGCTTCCACTTAGCAATAGTGAGCACTATTGGCAGCTTATCAACGAAGCAATGTGGTAACAGCAATACATGTGGCTTAGGAAATTGCAAATGTTTACCAAATTCAGGACAGCATACAAAATTTGTTCATAATGTAATTCTCTGTAACTCTGTAACACTCTGAGATCACAGAAATATGTTCTTATTTATCTCTTGAACATTTTTCATTTCAAAATTCAACTTCATTAGCCTTCAAAATGGATGTTTTACTAATTTCAGTGTCTAGTATATCACAGCCACATAATGCACCAGTAGAAAGATAGGCTGACAAGTACTGAACACTCCTAGCTCCTGTTGATTTCTGTATGGGACTGAAGTTCTCACTTCTCCCAAGGGGAGATCTGGTGTGTTTTTAGATCCAAATTCAGTTGATATTTTTTCCTTAGATGTCATAGGCAGATAAAAATTTCACTTCTGCTTGAAGCAGATTTCTTCATGAAGCAAATTCGCATTAGGGGAACGAGCAGCTCTGGGCCTTTCTTGATGATGTGAAATTCACTGTTGGATGTCTGCCAGATACGTTTCCTGCCCTGTTCCTCATCACACCTGCTTAATTGTCACTTGCATAATGTGGGAGTCCCCAGCAGAGCTGGTCTGGAGATTGCTTTTGCCACTGCAGACTTCATTTACCCCACCATTTTGTGGATATTGATGTTGTAGAAGTTGAATGGTTTCACTTAGTGGAGGAGTAATTTATTCTTAAAGTTACTTTTAATTCAAGAGATTTTTATTTTTAGAGTAAGATTTTATAATTAATGTACTTCTGAAATCCCTCATTTTCAGTACCTCTAAAGCAAATGAGGTATTTCAAATGAAATTGAAGAGATGAGCACACTTTGCAGTATATGTAAGAGGCAAAACCCAGGTTTTTAGTCTCCTCAACTAATACTGCTATTTTCTCTCATACATTTGACATTAAACATTTAAAAAGAAAAGAGATTCAAATTTTAAGAAAAAAAAAGAAAACACAGAAGTGGACTACAAAATGTGACTCTGCTGCCATGGTTTATAGTAATCACTGCCATGAAATAACTTTCTATGAATAATAATATTGGTGATGTGAACTGTCACTAAAATTAGCAGTCAGTAACAGAGATGAATTCATGGCAGAAAGACATGAACTGTCTTACCTGTGTGTGTAAATCTGATGGGAAGGAGTAAAAAGAGGGAGCCATGCACTACTCGGTGTCTGGTGGGAAGATGAGAGGCAATGGGTGTAAATCAAAATACAGGAAATTCTGCTGAAACAGAATTAAAAAAAAAAAGAAAGAAAGAAAAAAAAAAAGATTATGAACGTGAATGAACACTGAAGCAAGTTTCCCAGAGAGGTTGTGGAGTCACCATCCTCGAGAGATGTTCAAGCATTGAGATTCTGAAGCTCTTCACATTAGGGGATCAGCAGTAGAGAAAAGCTCCAAATTGACCTTTTTTTTTCTTTTTTTCTTTTTTCTTTTTTTTTTTTTTCTTTTTAAGCAGTGTTAGCTATGCACTGTCAAAATTTGCTGTCAAAGAAACCCTAACCTGTTCTAAGACTGTACTACAGAAAAACCCTTTTAGAAAGGGTGACGCAGCACAATTGTTTTTGGCACCAAAGAAGTAGGCTTTCAAAGGGGAACTGAGAGAAAGGCAGATCTTTATTTCATTGAAATAAGCTTGGAATTTAGGAAATATAAATGTACCTTACAAAGAAGGTTTTATGTGTTAACCACAATCAACCTTAATCTTAGCATAGAAGAGAAAGTGAGGTGTTTTCTGAGCAGCTTACACCCATCAGATGTGATCTCTACCTACTGTTTCAAAGAAAGGAGAGTCGCTCCAGTAATCCATACCTTTCTTGAAATCTATGGCATAGCCATGCTGTTCAAGGGATGGACACAGTAAGGGTAGCTTCAGGGGAAAAAAAAAAGAAAAAGAAGGTCATGTTACTAGTGAGCTCAATTTGCAGCAGTTTGTATTTTGTACTAGGTGGGCTCTATAACAGTTAGCTGCTTGCTGCTTCTGCTTGAGTCCTTGGGAGCTGCTCATGTAGTATCTTCTAAACTCCCGCTGCCCTGATCTAAATTAGTTTGTGTTTATGTATTCTGGGAATAATTGTGCTTAACATCTCTTGCCTGGAACAAACATCAACAATCATCTGTAAATATATTCTGTAGCTGACATTTTGAAGTCACAGCGGGCAAACAGGTATTTTTGAATGTCAAGGTATACATATGTAATACTTAGATGCATTTTTATTGATTCAGGGTTATAGAGCACTTTTTCATGATGTCTGCAGAACAAAATTCAAAGTCTCAGTGCATTCCTGCCTCTTTTCCCATGGATAGTATCTGTTAAAAAAAAAAAAAACAAAAACAACCCACATTCTTACTGTCTGGGTGCTTCTTGAAAGTATCTCAGCATGAGATAGCTGCCCACTACTTATGGACTTGGAGAAAACTCATCAGAGTTGTCTGATGCACTTGCAGTTGCCTAGGTAAAGGAAAATGTTAACCTAAAGTAGGTTAGGTCCCAAATGATTACAAAACAAAAAGCACCTTAGTACAGAAAGTGGATCTATAACTAATGAGAAGTCTTTCATGACTGCCCTAACAGCACAAAAGGTGGCTGTAGCCCACTAGTCCATGGCCCCTGCTCAGCCTTGAGGCTGGTTGGGGAATGCCAGCTTCACTGCCATGCATACTCCCCAGTGTATGTGTGGAGGGTATGTGTACATGTGAAGTTAGTGGTGAGGTGCACATCTAATACTGAAGGGCATGTCCTCGTGGGAATGGTGAGCAACTTGTGTTTGAGTTCAGTTGACTTCCCTGCCATTCTTCACTTACTTTGAAGTTATTTGTGTTGGATCCTTTTTTCTGGGGTGATTTGTTCAGTGTATGTGCTCAGCCATTTTGATTACTGCACTCATTTATGAAGCCATTCTACAGGAAAGACCAAAACTTGTTTACAAATGTTCTTCTCGTTTCTGGGCCTGGATATAGGTTACTGCTTACCTAAAATTCCTTTTTACCTCTTTGAGAGACACATGCATAAAGACATTGTGCTAGAATCAATACTGTTCATACTCAATATAAGCATTTAAAGAATCTACGGTATGAAATCGTTAACTTTTAATGTTTGTTTGCTAATTTATACTGGAAAATCTCTGATCAATGTGCTGTACAAAATAATCGGAGGACCAAGGTTTCCAGCTACTCGTACTGCCTTTTTGAGTATCTTACTGTATCTTGATTGGATGGTATTATTTTGTTGTCTGAGATTGTTCTGGTGATTGTATTGATATATTTAATTTTAAACTGTGTGGCAAGGAAGATTGTAATAAAAGCATCTACATTTAATATACTGTACACATAAATTGTTAGATCCTATTTTTAATATGTTAATCATTTCAGAATTAAACAAATCAAGAAGAGTTTGATAGTCTGCTGAATAAGTGGATGTAATTAAAGGTTTAATTAGATATATCCTGGTATAAAGAACGGATAGTTAATGAAAGAAGGTACCTTTGTGCTCCGCAGTCATCTCATTGCAAGGGAATAGGTCTCTAGAGGAGGATAACATCCTTGTCTTCTTAGATTTTCTCCTGAGAAGTTTCATGGGAAGACAACAGCTGATACCCACACCACTGCTCTTGTATGCCTTGTACTTGTATATGCAGGACCTCCCCAGGATGTGCTCCTTATTGCTGCAAAGGTGAGAAGAGAAGCTTGAAGTAAGCATCACAATTCATTTTCAGGTCTGTTTCTTGTGCAGCTCTTAGCTGAACACCTCTTCATGCAGAGTAATTTTTATCTTACTGCAGAGCATACAGGACTATACAGTTGGAAACAACTGTTTCTGCACATCAGAACAAGTGCTTCTGTCAGCACTCTACACTGTGTATGCTGTGCCAGTTTGCAGGAGGAGGAGGGCAGGTATCCAATTTATGGAGAGCATTGCTTATTGGAGAAGGTTCTTATGCTGACTGGAGAAGTTAGGCTTTTGTCACTTCTCCTAACTAACTCTCTTTGCTCACTAGAAGTTGAGACATGAATGATTTTGGTCACTGAATCCAAAGTATTTCTCCATAAACTGAAGAAAAACAACCCGTTCTTTTTTATATCACAATTCATCCTTGATTAGGCCTTCAACTATTAGAGTCCCAAGAGGAATTACCTGGAGAATAGCTGTCCTCTTTGAAAGATGTGCTTTTGATGATTGAAAGCCTGCTGCTGAGCGATCTTGTAGCCTGCTGGCATTCTAAACATATCAATTATTTTCCATGGTTTAGGTGTATTTAAGCTTTGACATGTTCAATCACAAGCCTGAAAACAGCTCTACTCTTCCAAGGAAGTAAGTAGAATGGAATTTATGTCTGCATGCAAGAGCAGACTGAAGTTAATTCTACAAGATTCAATCAGAAACTTGGAGTGATCCCTAAACTGCCAGGAAGGGTGCTGAGTGCAGGATGCTAGGTAGCTGTACATGTCTTTTTAGGAGAACCCAAGCTAGTTTTCTCATTTTCCAGGAAGGAAAAGGATGTGGTTTAGTTTTCAGCAGCCTAGGAATGCTCCTGTCAGCTTCACCACTACCAGCTGACAGTCCCAAAACCACCAGCCGACCGTGTGGTGCTTGCTGCTCCAGCAACAGCAGATCTCGAGGCAAATGGGATGCTCCCAAGTATGTTCCTAAATTAGCATTCCCAAGTTTGTGCCTCGACAGATAAAAGTAATAAATACACCTTTTGCAGAGTAGTGAATAAGGCAGCACATTATTAAGACAGAGAATACCAGCAATATGAGAAGGCTGAGCCATATGTTACCACAGAAATCATGTGTATTCATTACCTATTGCCCTTGTGGTTGCATTGCTATTTAGAAAAATCAGTGTGTAGAAGAGTGTAATACATGTATTCTGTGTGTATGTGTGCGTGTGTGTATGTTGAAGCTTTATTTGCAATGTGGTGGGGGTGGGAAACAAAATTTGGGGGCTGGCTGTGCAGGCCTTCAGGGTGTACGTAGAAAGTCTTAAAGAATTATATTTTTATAGATTGTGATGAAGCTTTGGGTCCCAGCCACACCTAGGCTTTTCTTCTTGGAAAGTAAGATGGGATGGAAATAGAGTCAGGTGGCTGTAATAAAGTAGGGACAGTACAACCCCACCAGCCCTGGACAAACTAAAATAATTTAAATAAAAGATGCCTTTTTAAGTAATATTTTTTTAGTGCTGAATTGTTAAACAAATATTTATGAGCAAACTTTCTATGTACTTCAAGTTTGTGTGGTGCTTCGTACTGACTAGGTGGACCTGTTCTATGTTTACACATCTCAATGATTGTCTTTGAGTATGTAGTAACTCAATGAATTTTATGCCAGAAAAGCAACAACGTTCTGTGTAATAGCAAATGATTTAATTTCTTATGAAATTGTAGGCTTTTGTAGTGTTTGTGTGTTTTCTGGTTGTCGGTTATGAGTTATATTCTTTCTGCAGTAAGGCTTGTACGCTTGATTGTAGAGAGAGGCAATAGGATGGTAGACACCATTGTATAAAAAGAAAACCCTAAATATTGCTACCTTATCCATGACAAAATCAGGTAAGTGGTGACCTTGAATTTCGATTTTGCAGTGGAATAAAATATCAAATACATCTGAGGCAGAATAAAGATAGGTGAGGGATTTGTTTATTTAATGTAATAGGACTGGGGGTTCTCATTGGTCCTTAATAGCACCATATAAGCAAACAAGCCTAGAGACTGGATCGGCACTCACTGGCCAAGCTAACTTCATTGTTTGCACTGAATGAGTGCAACAGAGATGAGTGGGCTAAGTGGTAGAAAATGTTGTTTGCTTTTTTTTTTCCTTCAGTCTCTCAGTTGTGGCACTGTAAAGAATTTTAAAAGAGCGATCTGAATTTAAATTCAATACATACATTGGCTTTCAGAAGACTTGAGTTACCAACAAAATCCCATTCAGTCACAATGCAAGCTGTTGGCATGCTTGAAAACAAGAAAGTGATTTTTTTTTTTTTAATCTCACTGTAGTCTTTTATTTTTTCTTATGGCTGGGAGATGGGCTCAAGCCCTTCAATCCTGATTTCTTTTCTTCTTATTTTCTCTTGTTGTTTGGTCATTTGGGGATTTTATAGGAAGTCTGAAAGGGTTTGTGGCGTAAATCATTTTGCAGGGCAAGGCCCTCCGCTGCATGCAGTGCTCCTACCATAATAGGGTTGATCTGGAGAGCCTGAGCATTATTCATAATGTCTCTTTTCAAGAAACAAGGCAGTATCCTTGCCACATTCCTCAATAAATCACTCCTGCAAAAAAAGTAGTAGGGGAGAATTTGTCAGTTTTTTCTGTCATGATTTTCCAATTTCTGGATGTGTTAGAAGTATTGCTTCTGCTTTGCTGAGTTAGCAAAAAACATGTCACTTAGGTGAATAATGTATTGTTGGGGGGGGAGACTCAGGAAGAAAGCAGCCATGTTTCACATGGTTGGCTGTGCTGTGATTTCCTTCCCTAGGGAAACACAGAGGTGTGGCCCTGAGTTGAGTGAGTGATGAGGGCACTGTGAGGTTGTCCCTTCCTAAATGCAGTACCAAAACTTTGATTCAGCACAACTCTATTCACTTTGAAGTTAAAGCATACGATAAGCAGCATACTGCTGTCTTTGTCTGGTGTATGGCAGCAGGATGTTCATTCTCTCCCTTCTAAGAACCTTGTTTTGCCATGAGGTTTCCCTAGTCTTCCTCTGCAGTTCATGGAGAGAAAGAGACACTATGAGTGAGTGTTTGGATGATTTAGGAAAGTTTCTTGTGCTCTGGAAAAGAAAAGTACAGAATTATCAGCTGATGTGATAGATTTCTCTTACCCAGCTCAACTACACCATAAAAACACATCCTGATCTTCCTTGTCCATCACTTGTGCTGTCCCTG